GGCAAACAAGGTATTAATAGCATTAAAATAAATATAAATTAACGATTTCTTACCTGTATTCACAAAAACTATACTCCAAATCATTAATAGGAATGAGATTTTTAATAGATGTTTCATTTTTCTTTAAGAGTTTTGAAATTAAAACAAATAAATTAAATAATTTCTAAAAACAATTTAACACTGAATTAAGAGTTAATTTTGTTTTTTTTTCTAACCAATCTACTTTTACTTGCAAACACAAAGTTGATTTTATTTATTTATAAAAGAATTGAGAGTAATTTTGTTTTTAAATAACATAAATAAAGTTTAATACCTTTTTAAATTTTGGGTTATTTTACATTGAACATGTGTTTAGATTCTAAATTGACATATTACTTTAACATAACCTTATTTCTTGTAATTACTAAAACTTTATTTAATAACCTGAGCATATATTGAGATATTTATTATAAATTATAAATACATTCATGAATAAAATGAATTCATATTGATCTTAGAGTTGCCTGTGCTATGGCTATGGCTGTGAAACACGTGACGATTGGCGTCAATAAGTCGATGCAAGTCTTCGTTGACATCGGGTTTGGGATAAAGCGATCGCAACTCGTGTACCGTTTTCTGGGCGATGCGTCGGGCGATCGGCACCATTGCTTTGGGGTGTCGTTTCAATCGGCTATAGTATTGCGGACACTGACCCGTCACTGAATTACACACCGGCGCTGGCAGTCTCATAGCCGTCATAGCGGTGCCCATCATCGACGTCAACGACCCGGCGCTCAACGCCAGAGGCACGAGCTCTGAGAATAGCGCCGTCAGTATTCGAACCAAAATTGTAAAAATCTGACCAAATATACCGCTCGATCCGCTTGGCTCTGACATCGCCGATCCGCCCGCTATTCACGCGTTTAATAGTTGTTTAAAATTTTGAACATTCTCTCTCTCTCTCTCTCTCTCTCTCTCTCTCTTAAAAATATTTAACAGACAATTGTAACAAAACAATTGCTATAAAATTGTTTGCATAAATAATTTTTATTGAAAAATGTTTTCATAGATTTAAGTTTAAATTATAAGAGTGTGTAAAACAGCTGTCAATGTATTGCAATAAAAAAGGGCTATCAATGAGAGTATGTCTCAAATATGAGCTCAAAGAGTGTGTATAAAAGGACTATAAACATAAAGTATCATGGTACAACAAACAGCGCTGTAAATGGTTAACCAATTAAATGATCATGATTAAGTGTATGATAGCCCAAAAAGTCCTTTTGTCATTTTAAATTTATTATTAAAATATATTTATTAATACTTCTTTATATTGAATTATATAAATAATAGTAAAAATTTGATAATTTTATTGTTTAGATGTCTTGGAATGAAGTGAAGGCCGAAATGGTTGGAGAGAAAGGTTTAGAGGAATCGGTTGCCGACAGAATCGGCCGATTTGTTCAGTTGAACGGTTCGGCGGATCTCGTGGACAGACTGTTAACCCAAGAGTTGGCCACTAATACGAAGGCCAAGAGTGGGTTGAAAGCGATTAAACTACTGTTGAAATACTGCGATATATTTAAGTTAACGGATAATATCCGGTTTGATATGAGTCTCGCCAGAGGTCTGGACTACTATACGGGTGTCATCTTTGAGACAGAGTTAGCGGGAGAGGGGGTGGAGTGCGGGAGTATAGCGGCCGGCGGGCGATACGACGATCTGGTGAGTCGGTTGGCAGATAAGCCCCGATGGCGGGTGCCGTGCGTTGGCTTCAGTATTGGTGTCGACCGTATATTAGCCGTAATGGAGAAGCAATGGGAGGACAATAACTACTGCCCGACACAAGTGATGGTCGCGTCCATCGGTGAGGAGATGACTGAAGAGCGCATGAAAGTGATGGTCGAGTTATGGGAGGCCGGCATACGAGCCGAACACCTGTTCAAAAATAACCCCCAAATTGTACGTCAATTAAAAGACTGCAAACGAAAAGGCATACCATTTGTCGTTATCATCGGCGAGAATGAGCTCAACCGAGGGGTCGTTAAATTGCAAAGTGTCTCAACAAGACATGAGGTAAACGACAGTTTGGTTTGTATTTTTAATTATTCAGTGTTTTAAACAAATTGATGCAAATATTGGTTTCATAATTGAATTTATTTGACAACATTTTGCAACATTTGACAACAATTGTTTTATAAGTTTTATTTTTTTTTTTGTCTGTTTGTTAATTTATAATAATAAAGATTTTGTTTTTACATTATTTTATAAGATGCGAGAATTTGGTCCACGAATTCAAAAAATTATTTTTGGCATTCACTCAATGATAACTATAAGGAATTGAAATATAAGGTTAACTTCTCATCCGTTTAATTNTCCTGTCCTCCAGATATTGGCGTCCATTCCGTGCTTCACAACAAACCTCTTACTTATTTCACGCACAGGTTTTGCTCATATTGTCATCAATAGTGCCTGAAGTGCACACAATATCCCTAACAATTATTCTGTTATTTATGACTACCAATTATATTGTGACCATTCCGTTGGCCCTCATGTTTGAGTTACCGGCGATTAAATTGCAACAAATGGTATCGAAATATATGTTTGAACCAAAAACAGTATTAAATAAATTTAAATAATTCAATAAACAAATCGTTAACTAAATAGTTTGTCATTACATATTGTAAATTATTTCATTTTGTTAAATTAATTAATATGTTTAATACTACACTTACAATATATTAATGTAGCAGGAATGTTTAATACTTATTACAGAACTAATTTATAAGTTATAAATTATAACATAACCATTTTGCAATTGGTATTTAATAACCCGAGGTATATAGATATTTATTATAAATAAATTATAAATACATTCATGAATAAAATGAATTCATATTGATCTTAGAGTTGCCGCTATGGCTATGGCTATGGCTATGGCTGTGAAACAAATGACGATTGGCTTCAATGAGTCGATGCAAGTCTTCGTTGGCATCGGGTTTGGGATAAAGCGATCGCAACTCGTGTACCGTTTTCTGGGCGATGCGTCGGGCGATCGGCACCATTGCTTTGGGGTGTCGTTTCAATCGGCTATAGTATTGTGGACACTGACCCGTCACTGAATTACACACCGGCGCCGGTATTCTCATAGCCGTCATAGCGGTGCCCATCATCGATGTCAACGACCCGGCGCTCACCGCCAACGGTATGAACTCAGAGAATAGCGCCGTCAGTATTCGCACCAAAATTGGAAAGATCTGGGCAAATATACCGAGCGATCCGTTTGGCTCTGACATCGCCGATCCGCCCGCTATTCACGCAAAAATGATTGTTGAAAATTATGTACGTCTCTCTCTCTCTCTCTCTCTCAAACACATAAACGTTTAAAACCACATTTAATCATGATGTAAACAGAATATATTTATAACAATAAAATGCCTTACCTCGTTTGGTAATCATTAAAGGCTATATCGAAAAGCGCTAATTTAAATGCTAAACATTACAAAATATGGGCAAAGATTGTGTGAACGCTGACCAGCACTCGGATGCCGTCCATAACATTATATGTATTCATAGACTGACCACCAATTTTGTCCACATTTCTCGTCGACGACCCGTCGTTCACACGAATAGATTCACAATAATTAGTGATTAGAGAAAAACAATTCAATATTTTATTGCATGTATTGTTGTTATGGTTTTGTTTTGATGAATATATAATTAATAAATGGTTAATTGTGGCCCAAAACACAATTATCACCCATACAACTATAAATACGATAAATATGTATAAATCCAACATGTTGTTTATGAGTAAATTAACAAATAAATAATAAGATGAAACAACAAATCTAATAGATATAAAGGGGTTGTTTGTATTGTCATTAATTAAATTAATAATATAAAATTATTAATATTTTATTAAAATACTTATTTCTCAAGTAAATAATTATTTAAAGGATATGTAAATGTGATTTGCATGTAATCACTGATTACTACTTTATCCTTGATTTCAGATATTTCCGTTAAAAACAATTATTAATCTATGAATTTTGATGTGTTGTCATCGAGATAAAAAAAATTAGTTTTAATATTAACATTTCTTTTAATTTTTATTTTATGTTTATTATTTTTAAGACTATACGCCATGAATGAGAACTTATTGTTAATTGCTTTTAATGCAATATACTGTACACAACTTATTATGTAATTCATTGCATTTAATGCTAAATAAAGATTATTATTATTATTGTAAACAATATTATTACATAAATGAAACACAAGGTCTATTTAATGATTTTTATTTATTATCAATTTAATTGTATCAATTAATAGATTTATATTTAAATATTAATTTTTAATTACTATTATCGCTGTAAAAAATAATATGATAATGTTTTAGATTAATAAATATAGTATTTTTAAAAAAGTATTTTAACAAATAATTGAAAAATATCAATATATTAATAATGTAAACACAATTCAAACTATACGACAATTATATCAGGCACATCTAATCATAGCTTACAATATAAACAAATTACATTAATAAGAAATAATACAGTATTTACAAACAATTTACAAATTAATATCGTTTATCTATTAAGGTGTTATATAAAAATGAAAATATTCTACGGAAAGTATAAAATTCAATATTTTTAATAATTTAAAACTTTAAAATTTGAATATATTATTTATATATAATTGCACCTAGTCGCAACTGTAATATTACCCCCCTTTTGTTTGCTTTTACCAGCACTACTTAAATGTTCACAAATATCATGTGTTAACAAAGTGTCACAGATGATAATTCCCATGTAATAGTAAATGTCGATTATTGTATTTTTCATATATATTTTTCATATTTTCGTATTTTCTTTATATATTTTTTCACTTTATATTTATCAATATAAATACAATTAATCGTAACATTTATTATAATCTATAGCTAATTACCCTCCGCGAACTAAATACCAAACGATCAATGTCATTTAATATAAAGCATAAAATAAACCAGAACAAATGTACAACTGCATATTTCAGTACAAGTTAAAAATATATATAAAGTTACTTGCTAATTAAACACAATAACCAGTATATTTTAACCATACATAATATACACTATTATAAATGACGATGATGTTTTATACAGTATGTTTAATTACCATCATTGGTATGGGAGCCGTCATAGCGGACACAACCGGTGCGGCGGCGCCCGTAAAGATCGATGTCTACTACGAGGCTCTGTGTCCGTACAGTAAACAGTTTATTGTTGAACAACTGATCCCCACTTACAATAAGGTCGCCTCAATCATCACCGTTGGTCTCATCCCATTCGGTAACGCGAAATGGAAAAAGGTTGCGAAGCCTGATGGTACTTTTGATGTCGAGTTTACGTGTCAGCATGGTGAACAGGAGTGCATTGGCAATAGGATACATGTAACATTTTTATTTAATTATTATAAGTAGTGTATATTTGAGCATATGTTGGACATGGTAAACTAAAGTCACTATTTGATAATCAACTTATTTATTTCACAGGACTGTGTTCTGCTCGATGAGCCCATTGATAAGACACTAGCCTTCCAGGACTGCATATTTAAATCAGCCGATTGGAAAACACCGGCCAAAGCTGGCAAACCGGTAAATTAATTTTATCATCATTATTATTTTATGAAATATCAAAATGATAAGTACCATAATATACTATAACTATAATATCAAGTTTGCTTAATATATAAATATAATTATTAATATATAATGATAATTAAAGTGCGCTGAACAATTGAAACTAAATTGGACCTCGATCGATGAGTGCTCGACCGGGCCTTTGGGCAGAGGTCTGTTGTTATTGAATGGCGAGCGACACGTGGCCCTCAAGCCCCAGGCCAAGGGTGTGCCGTGGATTGTGGCCAATGGTGTCCATACCGATGATATACAGGAGAGAGCACAGGGTGATCTCTTGAAATATGTGTGCGACACCTACACAGTATGTATTTTCAATTTTATCATCATGTATTTTACTTTAATGTAATTTCTATCTGTAGGGCCCAAAACCGTCGGGATGTAAATAAATGCAAAATTATAATTGAGTACATTTAAGTATTTCAATTTGGTTTTAATGTATGTTATTTTGATTAAAAATGTTTGTCAATAAAGTTTGATTTTTTAAAAGTTAATTACAAGAGATTTTTATAATGGTCAATTTATTAAAATACAATTTTATATAACAAAGTACAGTCTGGCCCCGAATTTGGCATGTCATTGGTGCTGTGAAAAAGATGTGCCAAAATTGGGTTCTGCTAAAATCGGGGTTATTAGCAGTGCTAATATGACTCGCCGGTGCTAACAAAACCTTATGCTAAAATCGAATTCTGCTAAAATCGCGTGTGCCAAATTCGGGGCCGTACTGTATTAACAAATATATTTTAATAATAAATTTTAAATGACAAAAGGACTTTTTGGGCTATCATACACTTAATCATGATTATTTAATTGGTTAACCATTTACAGCTCTGTTTTTGTACCATGGTACTTTATGTTTATAGTCCTTTTTATGCACATTCTTTGAGCTAATATTTGATACACACTCTCATTGATAGCCCTTTTGTATTGCAATACATTGACAGCTGTTTTACACACTCTTATAATTTAAACTTAAATCTAATCTTAAATCTATGCAAACATTTTGCAGTAAAAATTATTTCTGCTCACAATTTCATAGCAATTGTTTTGTTACAGTTTTCTGTTAAATATTTTTATGAGAGAGAGAGAGAGAGAGAGAGAGCGTTGTATGTTTTGATGTACTAAAAAATGAATGTTTTAATTAAAAATCATTATCAACTAAAGTTTTTTAGGTTTTATGGCACGGTAAAAATTAACTCAATACATTTAACAATATATAAATCTGTGATAATTAAATTTTACAATATAATTTAAAATAACAATAATTAACAATACTTAAACATTAGATTTATAAAAAACATTGTTGACATTATAGTTGCTTTGATCGGCTATTATCTCATATTTAAGGTGTGAATACTCTTTGTCTGTATATGTCTTAATGTCATTCATTTTCAGAAACAATACTTTTTGTAAACGAAAAAATAAAAACGATATAATTTTATAAATAATTGGGATTTTAAGCAAATAATCCATTGTAAAGACCATCATATAATAGGATAACTTCTGGTCCAACCTCTGCAGTACAATAGGATGTCTAACACCGAGTGCTTCGTACCAGTACTTCATAAAGCCTTCGTAACTGAACAGGTATTTAGGCATAACTCCATTGATTCCTAACATTATATTATGTAAAGAATTTATATGAATATAAACTAAAATTATTTAAACAATGATAATAAAAAATGTATATTTCATACCCAAGAAGACGCCCTGGGTCAATTTCATGCCCATTTGCACTTTAGGGCACTGTTCGTCCAAATGCTTTTTATAGCACTCATTGAAACAAATGTCAAAATAGGCGACCGATTCCTCATAATTATTCTGACATATATTGAATCGATCCTCAATTCCCATACAATAACCGATTACTTTCCAGAAATACATGTATTCTTCAAATTCATGTTTGTTTGTCATATGAAAGCCGCACTCTTTCGGACGAATGCCTAACATATACATAACAAATGCATTTAATAATTAATAATTAATATATTGTTATGATTGGTGATGTGGACACACCTACGAGTCCAATGAGAGACCACTGAGTCATTGCCATATCAAACTGGTTGAGCCACAGGCGGTCCTCCTGGGGGTACTTCTCGTTCATAAGTTTGGTGACCGCCATATGACACGTGTATCGGACCTGCATTAGCGACTTATGGGACGCGCTGTTGCGGTCAAACGGGTCGTCTTCGTACCACTTGAACACATGTATGGTTGTGGACAACACTCGTAGGAATACCATATACACCGACGACGACCGCCCGGTGGCCAGTATTGGTACGATTACTTGCGGCAAATGTATTAATAGTATATTTCCAATAAAATGCGCTAAATTTAAGCTGTATTTTGATTGTAATTTTTAATTTGTATTTCTAATACTAGTATTATTTCAATTTAATGATTGGTTGGCATTAATAAAAACCTGAGAAAATATTTTTTTGATAACTGTTGAGCTCGTCTATAGCGGTCCGGATCGTACCAATCGGGCGGCGATATCAATGGGTTTCTCTCTTTACAAACGCCGGGAGTTTTGACACCAGTTGTTATCAATTCATGCCATTGTTTTTCTAAACGCTGTTTAACTGTATTATCCATCGCTTTAATTAATTGCTGAAGATAAATATAATTTATATAATTTATTTATTTAATTCATTTTTATAACTGATTAAAAACTTTGTTAAATAATATACATATAAGTTTTTAATAATTGATTTATTATTAATTGCGACAATATTAAAATTTTTATAAGATATATAATAATAAATTATATTAAATAACAATTTTCACATTAAAACTGATCAATTTATTAAAAATATACATATAAGTTTTTAATAATTGATTTATTATTAATTGCGACAATATTAAAATTTTTATAAGATATATAATAATAAATTATATTAAATAACAATTTTCACATTAAAACTGATCAATTTATTAAAAATCTATTAAACAATTTAGACATTAATTTTAAAAATTAAGCAAACATTAAGTTTGTCTCTAAGTTATGTAGATCTCCATAAACAGTTTGGTTGAACTGCAAAACTAAACTTTTATTTGATACTAAACTTTGAAACAATACAACATTTTTGTGCAGACAAGAGGTTTTGATTGAAAGGAAAGTAAAAACCAATTTAACCATAACTTGAAATTTACATAAAAGTTACAAATGCAAGGAGTAGTGAAAGTTTTGCTCTAAAAGTTAAGGTCAGGTACTGTTCAATGGGTTTATAATGGCTTTTTTGTTAACGAAAATGAAAACTTGTTTTACGGCCGCTTATTATCACAAATGTGTGTCAATCAGTGCTATCCTATGGGACAAGAGTTCATGTGTTTTAATATAACAGTTATAAACAGTTACCTCTTCTTAGATAAGTCAACACTTTCCAGGACTACAGTATAACCTCAGTATACAAATAAATAACAAGTAATGATTGTCAATGTATAGTACAGTACAGTTTCAATATTAAAATCCAAATCACAACAAGTGGTTATTGATGTAATACTTCTGATGTTTGCATTAAGTTGAATGTCAATTGTGTCTACTGTTGTAAACATGTAAACAATGATTGGTGTTTGGTATTTATAAGTTATTAAAAGTTTTATATTTATTTTAAATACTATACTCAATTAAATTAAGAATAAAGGTAAATTAATTTGGAAACAGTTTTTAAAATTTTATTTAAAGTTATACAAATGAATGAGATTTATTTTACACATTAATGTGTAATTGAAATATATTTTATTTATTTATATATGAATAATAATAATTTATTATATAATTACCATATATAGTGTACTTTGTTTATTAAACAAAACATTGTCAATGGCCATTTGAATATACTGTAGTAAACATACATTACATGAATATATTATTAAACATACATATTTTAACCTTAATCTAATCAAATGTTTGAATGTACTGTTAAGTAATTTGCATTGAATTGATTGATGTATACTTTCGGCCCATTTATGTGTATTTCAATGCATTTATGTTTTTAATATAACGAAAGAAAAAGTCTTAAACATTGTGTTGATCTTTAATATTATTTTATAACCACATTATGGGGCTTGACTTTTATTCCCGTCGCGACGGGACGTCCCGTCGTCCCGTCGCGACGGGACAGATTGTCCCGTCGTTCCGTCCCGTCGGTCTGTCCCGTCGTT